ACTGGCACATTTGTTGTTCTCTCAAGCTATGAAGAACTTCCTGTGTTGTCATGCCTAAGGGGAAGTTGTGTGTTAGAAACCACCAACGGTTAAGGTTAAGCCAGCTGGGGACATGGCATTACCTCTTCCCGTGTGCTAGAGACCCATGGGAATTCTCAGGGCTTCTCAAAGCCCTTAGCTTCCAAAAGTACAAGCTTACCGGTGATTTGGGTCTTCATTTAAGGAGGAGTTTGGGAAAACAAGAGAAGTCTAAAAAGTTTTAAGAGGTTAACAATAAATTTGCTCTAATGAAAGGATAAACTCCAGGGTTCTCACTATAGAATAGTTTCATTGCGTGTCCTTTGTGTTGAGCTGAGACAAGTTTCCGAAAGAGCAGAGGGAAATAATAATAGTTGTGTGATTGTTATGTTGATGGAATTAAACCCATGAGGGTGAGGGAACCACCCGAGATGTGATGGATGAGGACTGAAACCTGGACGGGTAAAGAGTCTGAAGGGCTTACAAGTGAGTAGAAGCACAACTAATGCCACATTTGACCTCCCTTTTGGTGCCCCTTTGCCCATCTCCTTTGCTTATAGGACATCTACAGAGATATCACCCTTTCTCCTTTTCCCAAACTCAGCCCAAATGACAACTCCTAGGCCTGCTGGGATGCAGGAAGAATGCAGGACTGAAATAGGTCTGAGAGAGACAACTATGGGAAAGATGCAAATTGAGATAGGTTCTTCCCTCCAGAGAATACGGAAGAAGCCCTCATAAACTCTAGCCAGGGAGCTGGACAGATCCTTCTTTCTCTACTCTTCAGCCAGAGTTGCTTCGTCTGAGGTCCTACAGAGGCGCCTAGTCCCTTTGGGCCTCCTTAACATGAAACGAAAGCCAAACTCACTGCCATTGAGTCAAGTCTGACTCATAGGGACTCCGTCAGACAGCGTAGAACCCCACCCCCCCTCCCAGTGAGTTTCCGAGACTTTAACTCTTTGCAGGAGTAAAAAGCTCAGTCTTTCTCCCACTGAGAAGCTCGTGGTTTCAAACTGCTGGCCTCAGGGTTAGCAGCCTCATATAACCACTATGCCACCAGGGCTCCTGCCTCCTTAGCATCAGGGACTCTCCACTCTTCAAAGACATCCTATTACCAGTCAACTCACAAGACATTGCATTTCAACATCTGCTACGATCACATGGGGCCACCGATAAACAGTTCATTTTTACATTCCCTACTTCATTGAAACTGCTAACAGAGGATCTTAAAGCTGAGGGCTAAATTCTCACCTTGCTTTTTAACACCATGTGATTCACCAACATCTGCTGTCCCTGGGAATCTACAATGCTACTGTTTAACCTCTGCCTTGTGGGTAACCCCTACCTTCCACCTACTTCCACCCCCAGAGGAGAATGTGGGTCTTGCCAATTGGAGGCCCCCAGGAGATTTTCTAAGGCTCACGAGATGTCAAGTCATCTCTAAAACTTTTCAAAAATCCAGAAAGTCATTTCAAAAAGTTAAGTTGGTGGCCCCGCAGAGAGGAAGATCAAACTTTCCAGGCAGACACAGCAAGCCTGTGCCCCAGGATTGTGTAAGAGGGCCAGGAGGGTTGGTACCCCGCCCTTGGTGAAAATGATCTTTTCACTCAAGTCAGCCTCTTCGACCCAAGGGGAAGTCCACCTAGGTAAATAGTTTAGCTGGTGTTTGGCACCCCATAGCACATACTTATGAAGTCTGCCACTAGGGAGTTTCCCTTTGCAGTGCAATCAATAAGGGTTTGTCTTTCTGAAAGATTTCCCACAGGAATCCATTTGCCTATAGGGGGGAAAAAAGCTAATATAAACTCTGAGTGCTTGGGTTTTTGAGATTTGGAATTGTTTTCTCAGTGCATTCAAATAGAAAAACATAATGATCAACTCCCATAGGAAAAAGGCTTTTCAGCGAGTGATTTGAGCACTGCATGCTAGGCGCTGTATGGGTCTGAGGATACACTGGTGAACAAAACAGAGGTGACCACTGCCCTCAAGAAGCCTGATGGTCCAACTTTAGCTTTTAGTTTGGGTTTGTATTGCAAATGAGATTTATATCATCGAGGGTCTATCTTTATATTAAAATATGCATACCATACAAACTGTGTGCCTCTTTCAAGATCCAGTGTAAATCACCCTCAAAGAAGTGATCAGAGCTTATTTGAGTATGTAAAATCATTCAGTGCCTACAGTGTGTGATTAGAAATGACCCATCTCTGCAAGGCAGTGAATATCCACAGGTGCTTTCCAGCTAGAAAGCATTTCTTAGTTGAACCCTTTTTCCCTTTGTACAATTTTCAGTTCACTGTAACAGTAATTTATTAAACTCATGCCTCCTAGATTTATTGAATTTCAGGTCCTACTTATGGTTGCCTTGCCAGGGCCAGACTATATGATTTCATCTCATAGGGCCCACTGGAGCCCTGGTGGTATAATGGTTATGAGTTGGCTTTCTAACTGCAAGGTCAGCGGTTTGAAGCCACCATCCAGCTCAGAGGGAGAAAGATGAAGCTTTCTACTCCTGTAAAGTCTTACGGTCGTGGAAACTCACAGAGGCAGTTCTACCCTGTTCTATCAGGTCATGATGAGCCAGCATTAACATGATAGTAGTGAGTTAATGTTGATGAGTTTGAGTAGATAGCCGGTGGGCTGGACATTCCCCATCCTTGCATTAAAGGGCTCCTTTAGTGAGCAGTCAATGTATGGCAGGCATTGTTCAAGTTGTCTGAGCTGCATCAGTGATCAAAACAGAGATCTTTGCCATGGAGCTTAGATGAGGGTGGGGGGAAGGGAGAAACTGAATGAATACACTTATGATGATACAAGGAAAGAAAGCAGTGAGAGGTAAGAGGCATCAGGCTTGCATGTGGTCGGTCTTAGGGAAAACAACTTGCTGTGGGACCAAATCCAATTCATGAGCGAGTAGGTGGTAGAAAGGAAAAGTGAGCTCCAGAGGGTTTCCTTGGCTGTCATCCTCACAAAAGTGGAGCCACGGGTTTTGCTTCTGCAACCCCACTGGGTAGGCTAGAGCCGTCAACCTTTAGGTTAGCGTGCCATTGAGTTGGTTCCAATCCATAGCAACCCTATGTACAACAGACGAAACACTGAGCCTGTGCCGCATTCGAACGTGTGTTTGCAGTCACTGTGTCGCTCCATCCTGTTGGAGGTCTTCCTCTCTTTCACTGCCCCTCCGCCCCTCATGATGCCCAGGGACTAATGCCTCCTGATGACATGTCCAAAGCATGTGAGATGAAGTCTCCATCCTCACTTCTAAGGAGCATTCTGGCTGTACTCCCTCCGAGACAGATTTGTTTGTTCTCAGTCAGTCCAAGGTACTTTTCATATTCTTTGTCAACACCATCATGCAAATGCATCAATAATTCGCTGGTCTTCCTTGTTCATTAACCCAGCTTTCACATGCACAGGAGGCTATTGAAGATACTATTGCTCGGCTTAGTCTGACCTTAATCCTCAAAGTGAAATTTTTGCTCTTTAATGCTTAAAAGAGATCTTGTGCAGCTGATTTGCCAATGCAGTGGGTCATAGGAGTTCTTGACTGTTCCAATGATCCTCGATTGTGGATCCAAGTAAAATGAAATCTTTGTCAACTTCACACAAGAGCACATCATGGGGGAATGATTCTATCACTATACAACTGCCAAGCCACCGGGAATCATGGCCCAGCCAAGTTGACACATATTTTGAGGGGACACAATTCAATCCATGACAAGGGACAACTTTGATTGACTTGGGAATTAGCTAGCACTTCAAAGTACCCTGTGAACCAGAGACACTAAGTGCATTCAGTATTTTTGTAAAATAGATTTTGGTTTTAGATTTTCTTCAGATTAATAAAATAGGAGAGGAATATTTTTCAAAAACGCTCTGAGAACTGGAGTTTACTTAGAAGGCTTACAGTATTTTTTTTCTCTTTAAAATGGAAAGTACATCAAGGGCTCATGAGGAAGGGGGGAGCGGGGAGGGAGGGGAAAATGAGGCCCTAATGCCCGGGGCTTAAGTGGAGAGGAAATGTTTTGAGAATGATGAAGGCAATGAATGTACAAATGCACTTTACACAATGTATGTATGGATTGTGATAAGAGTTGTATGAGCCACTAATAAAATGATTAATAAATAAAATAAAATGGAAAGTAAGTTCAGGAGAAACTACATTAAAGAAGAAGAGTTCCTATTTCAGTACTAGTGCCAGAAACTTCGCTGTAATCCGGCCTTCCTGGTGCACTGCCATCTTTATCTCGCAAAAGCTAAGGTCATTTTGCATTCTATATTCATTTAATGGAGTTCCACCTTGGAATGAATTTCCTTAAGCCATCTAACACTAGCCTGCTATAAACCTGATTTTTTCCGTTTTTGTTCATTCCCAATCAAGGCTGCTTAACTTAGCAATTTCCTTATTACACACGTATTTCTCCTCAGTACCATTTTAAAAATAAATTTTATAGGGACTTTCAGTCATCGTCAGATCTTGCTTGGCCAAATGAAAATTCCGTTCTATTTTAGCGTCCTCTCCTGTTTGTACCTAATTTTAGGCCGGCGACTGCTGTTGACATCCACTACCTAACAGCAAAGAAGTTATTGGTTAAAGAAGAGAGTTAAGGATAAAGTCAGCAATCTGTCCAGACACAGCTGAATGAGCAGTTGCCAAAACTAACGACAGATTTGTTCTATGCACAGTCCATTTCGCCCACACTGATTTTGGGGCCCCAGCGAGCTTTTTCCGCGCTTGCTATGGTAACACACTACGAGAAAGCCCCAACCGCCACGACCTGGGTTCCAATTGGCGCGTTCGGGGCGCGCAGACACAACTCTCGCGCAGGCGCACACCAAAGGCCAGGCGTCTCACCCTCTCCCTGCAGGGGCGGGGCCTCGGACTTCTCCGGCTCGCCTTGACGCAGGAGACGTGAGCTCAGTGCGCCAGAGCGGAAGAAGTCCGATGAGTGCCCCGGAAGTAGTTGCTGCGACTTCCGGGAGGAGTTTTTTGCCCCGTGTGGGAGGTGCGGGGCCGGGAGACTGTGCTTGCGGTAGCGGGTGTTAGCAACATGTCCCGAGGTTCCAGCGCTGGCTTTGACCGCCACATTACTATTTTTTCACCCGAGGGCCGCCTCTACCAAGTCGGTGAGTGAACCGGGACACCTGTGCGCCATCCTAATTGCCCTGTCATGGTGCGGCCTGGCTGGAGCATGCAGTCGCGGCCCGGGGGCTGATGTAGGGCTGCAGCAGGACCTGAACTGGGCGAAACAAGGCCCGAGTCCGGATTGAGCCTCGTGTTACCCACCCCTGAGTGGAGGCGGGTATGGAACAGCCAACGACTGATGGTCTAGCTCTCGTCGGGCGAGCAGCCGCACTGTGCGGCACGATGAGAGATGGAAGGAATTAGGGCGGGAAGGCCTGGCGCTGGGTTCCTCACTCCCCTTCATGTGTACCATAACAGCCCTGGACAGGGCACAGTCCATTCTTGTCTAAAGGATAATTGGTTACGGGAGGTCCCAACTAAAGCGCCTCTTCTCCCATTTCCTCCTCTTGTGCAAGCGCAAGGGCCTCCCTGTCTGCTTCATTCCCCACAAACGTTCAGAGCCTATTGTGTTTCAGACCCTGTGTAGGTCTTAGGGATACAAAGGTGAATGCCACACCCCCTCCCATAATGCTGCTCACACTTTAAAGGGGATAACATAAGTTAACACATGCAGAAAGGGAACATGCCAAAGTTACAAGTATCTGCAGAGGTTAGGACAACTTTGGGAAAATGTTGGATCACAATGAGTGGCCCTCAGTTTTAGAGTGTCTCTTGAAATTTTATATCCCCTTTAAAAACTCCATCTGCAGGGAAATTCTTGTACTTTCAAGGCTGGCACTGAGTTCTAGATGAGATAGGTGAACTAGCTGCTTACCATAGTTCAGCTTACTAAGTGTAACTATATTTTGTCATGCTTTGGATTATAAATCAGACCTTTGACTTCTTGCCACAGAGAATTTAGTATTTGAGTCCAATTTACATCCTGGCCCATCATTTTTTATTTTTGTGTGAGATTAGCATTTCAGTACTTTGGTGACGATAGTAATTTATTATCTGTGCTTGGGAATCTTAAGTAGAGTGTTGGTCTATAAGTGAAGTGCTCATTACCTGAAAACTTTTAAAATGTTGGAATCCACTGTATGCTACAGCTGTATATAATGTAGCAACAAGCAACTATTCTGTTTTCTTCCAACAGCATACTGGATAACTCAGTAACGCTTTTTACTTGTTCTCAATTAAAAATATGATCAAAGATGAAAAAGAACTGTATCTTCAAGGATATTATTTTATTCCAGAGTTTTATAGACCGTATATATTTCATAGTTTTTAATAGTGAACAGGAAAAGTCTCATTTAGACCTACACTTTGCTTTTGTCTGTTGACTGAAATCCAGTCAGAAAGCATAGGCTTTAATACTTCTGAGATAAAGAGAGTAATAATTTATAAAGATTTGGAAGAGACCATGTAGTTGAAAAAAAGTTTAGAATGATTTTAAGGTCTGCTTTGTTGAATCACTGACTGGCTGTTATTCAGGGCATGAATTAGATGTTGGTAGGAAAGAGAAAGTGAAAGAAAGAGTAGCTGGGATGAACAAGCATTATAGGGGTGAGGAGTTCAGGCCCCGGAACCTTACTTGGTTGTAGATTCCTGCTTGTTTCATGGGCACAAACCGGGTGCAAGTTATTTAACTTTAGCCTTAGTTTTTATGTGCAAAGTTGGTGGTACAAGCCCCCTTTTCGAGGGTGGTTTTGAGGATTAAATAATGTAATGTGTGTAGAGGGCTAGTGTCTTATACTGGTGCTCATTAAATGTTACTGGGTGCCTTTCTGATCATATTTTGATCAGGTCATATTTTATTAATAGCTATGTAGACATGAACTAGTTCCATTTTAAGTGTCCATCCATGCTTGAGTCTTCTAGTGAAATACGTGCACAATCATATTATAAATGCTATTTAAAATCATTGACAGTGGACAGATAATATAACAAAAATGGGGAGATCAAGAAGGAAAGATCATGCGATGCATTTTCATAGATGGGCCTCAACAAATTAATGTCTAAAGCTCATTTTCAAAAATGGAGGCTTAAATTTAGAATACTGACCTTAATTGTAAACTGTTGATAATGGTCGCTCCCAGAATAATGAGGAAGAACTCATGTCATATCAGTGGATGGCCAGAAGACAAGTTCGCTCCATAATACATTTCTTTGGCTTAGTCTCATCAGCCTACTGCTGTTTTATTGTGACTGTAGTAACCCTATAGAACAGAGTAGACTGCCCTTCAGGTTTCTGAGACTTTAAATCTCTATGGGTACAGACAACCCCATCTTTCTCCTAAGGAGCACATGGTGGGTTCAAAATGCTGATCTTGTGGTGAGTAGTGCAACAGGTGACCCTAAGTCACCAGGGCTCCTTAGTTTTGCTAGGACAACTTAAAAAAAGATGGAATCAAAACAGTGACTTCAGGGGGACTCTGCTGAGCCACTTAAATTTAAGAAACTGGTTAGCTCAGAAAGTTGTGGCAACTGTTTTCCCAATTTTGGGATCCCAAAGGGGTGTCTTGATAGATTTTCTCAAAGTAGATTATGGGGCTTAATTAGGAAGAAGTTTTAAGAAAATGGAATCTTGGTGAGAAAAAGACCAGGAAAGTTATACCAGCAAAGATATGTTTTCCATCAGGACAATGCACCTGCTCATTCTTCAAGGATAGTAAGGGTTGTCCTAGGAGAATTTCATTGGGAAACCGTACCCCATTCACCTGACAACCACAATCCTTATCTTGCCCCTCGACTTCTATTTGTTTCCCAAACTAAAACGTTTCAAAGGAACATGGTTTGAGTCCCTAAAGAATGCCAAAACTAGAGGGACGTTGTATGTCTCATCGGTGCTATACTGTACCCTGATTGGCTCGTCTCCTCCCTGCAACCTTTCTGTAAGGGGATGTCCACTTGCCTACAGATGGGCTTTGGGTCCCCACTCCATGCTCCCCACCCCATTCTCAATGATATAATTTTTTGTTCTTTGATGCCTGATACCTGATCCCATCGACACCTTATGATCACACAGGCTGGTGTGCTTCTTCCATGTGTGCTTTGTTGTTTCTGAGCTAGATGGCCACTGATTTGCCTTAAAGCCTTTAAGACTCCAGACACTATATCTTTTGATAGCTGGGCACCATCAGCTTTCTTCACCACATTTGCTTGTGTGTACCCGCTTTGTCTTCAGTGATCGTGTCCAGAAGGTGAGCATTATGGAATGCCAGTTTAATGGAACAAAGTGTTCTTGCATTGAGGGAGTACTTGAGGCCTAATGTCCATCTGCTACCTTAATACTAAGTCTACAAATAGATCTATTTCCCCATCGTCATATATAAATGCCCTTTGCCTCCACCCTAGTTCTTTCCTCTATTTCTTTTTATTTTCCTCGTCCCACTGTCATGGTCAGCCTTTATTTGTAAAGGTTACATGTAATTTATTACATGTAATAATACAGCAGTTCAGGCACCTCTGCAGAAGATAGATGGAGCTGTCTTCTCCCATCAAGATTCAGTCTTGGGAAACTGTGGAACAGAGTTATACTCTGTCCTTTATAGAGTCACTATGACTTGGAATCAACTTAAGGGCAGTGGGTTTGGTTTTAGTGACTTAATGAGCAAGTCGTTTTTCAGTCTTTCAAGATTCAGTATTGTGAACCTTTTTGGAATTATAAATGTAGTGTAATTTATAAATAAATTACATGCTGAGTTAGTTCATTGTGCCAGCCTGGCCGATAATCACATGTGGTGCTGGTTGAAAGGCGGAGGGATAAACGGGTGGTGAAGCCTCGCCTTTCTAGTTCTCGGGTCTCTTGTTTTGTGATGGTTGCACCGGGTGCAGCTGCCTTAGCAGTTCCCTGCTTCA